AGATGATGCCCGTTATAATACAAAATAAGTTTGTCATCCGTTATGCGATAGTTGTACCTTTCGTAACTTAATGATACTATTATTATCGTTATTGTAGATTAAGGTGCAAAGAGGTGAGTTCAACTTGGTGATTGGAAAGATTGTGATAAGGTATTTTAAGGCTAAGCCCTTCCTACATTTTGGCATGATCTCGTAACTACATGTGTTTGATAATAAGACATAAAGAGAAGTTCATATTCCTGAATTTATGTACATTTTTCTAGTTTCATAAGTTACAGCATTCTCCCTTATCGTGACTTCATATTTAGTTTAATTTTGTCTTCTGCCAGCCAAGAGAGTAGAGAGTCTGTATATATATGCACACAGTATTACAATATTTTCACCACCATCGAGCTATAATCGATGGGCAGGCCCCTATTGGGCAACCTCAGATCTGATAGTAAGTTATATACTGAGCCCACTGTGGTCGAGCGCCTATGAGCGGGCCCAGAATGGCCAAGATATAGAGCCTAGTATGGCCGAGCAACTATGAGCGAGCCTACTATAGCGGAGCAATTACACGTTCCGAGCCTTAAAGGGCCGGACATTTATTTTACTTACTATATTGAGAGAGTTGAGTCAGTATCACCAGGTAAGTATATCTCCAAATCATCTTTGACTCCCAGTTACTTTCAGTTATCATATTATCAATTAAGTTTCAGCTTTCAGTTATTTTATTGCCTTATTTACTCGGTACATTATTTTGTACCGATGTCCCTTTTCTAGGGACGCTAAATTTCATGCGTGCAGGCTCAGACAGATAGACGAGTAGACCTCCTCAGTAGGTATTTCCTGAGTTCAGCCTAATCGGTAAGCTCCACGTTCTTCGGAGTTGCCGGATCTAGAGTATTGTGTACATTTTATGTATATATGTATATATGTTATGGGTAGGTCGGGGCCTTATTTCGATCACAGTACATCCATCAGTAGAGGCTTGTAAACATATTCTGTCCGTTAGTGCAGTATGTTGGGCTTGTAGGTCTTGTATGTATATTTTATTGGGTTATCAGCGGGAGTATATATGACGGCCTTGTTGGCCCAGCGTTAATTGATGTTTAGTCAGTGTTAGTCTCCGTTCAGTTTTATATTTTACTTTGCAAATTGTCTTTTATTGTGGCCCCATGACCAAGGTATGATATTATATGTTCAGAGTCCCTTAGTCGCAAGTTGGTATACAAGGTTAGGTGAGGCACCGGGTGCCGGTCTCGCCCCTAGGTTTGGGGCGTGACAATCGGATTGAAAAATGGGACTTAGCATCACTGAAGTTGGGAGCCTTCTGGTGTGATCGCATCTGCAAGGGTATTGGCCACATGTGCGGTTGATGTAGCGCAGGAGCGGAGCTAGGCTAGCCTGGAGCGTGATGCAGGTGCAAGGAGTCTTCCGCATCTGCGAGACCGCAGGTGCGAGCAAGACTCTATAGATGTGCAGAATGGGAGAGCTGGTTGTCTTCGCAGAAGTGGATCAAGGGTCGCATAAGCACTTCCGCAGGTGCGGAACTTGGAGCGCAAGAGTGGACCATGTGGACTTAAGTGACTTCCGCAGAAGCGGAACTCTTATCACAAAAGCAATTCTGCAGGTGCGTATATTGGCCCGCAGGTGCGAAAGCACTGGGCAGAATATTAAATTCGAGGGTTTTGTGATTTTCATCATTTTGGACATTTCAATCTCGGGCTTAGGTGATATTTGAGAGAGATTTCGAAAGGATTCATGAGGTAAGTCACTTGTGGTTATCTTTATTTAATAATTATGCTTCCCCATTGAAATTCCCACCTAGTTTGTATGTATCCTTCCCTCTCTTAACCGACCCTTTCTAAAATACTCAAAAAAATCCTTTTTTTGTAAATTCTTTTTAACCTTACCTTTTCTTATTATTCCACCTAGATAAATCTAAATGAACAAATTAATTAGGCCGGATAATTTCATATGTATAAGAATATCATTACTTGATTGATCTAAGTTCATGCAATTTATTAATAAAAATGAATAATTTATTTATTAGTTATTAATATTTTGGTCAATCGTTGAATAAAATCAACTGAAGGGGAAATCATTTCGCCCTTTTTAATTTAATTTAGTTACACATCGTAAATCTATAAAACAAGAATTATAATTATCAATAAAAATTCTTATATTCAAATTGTTTTAATAATGAATTAATAAGGAGATGGACAAAGCAATCTAAAGTGAATATTCGTTGAGACGAAGTATGATATTAAGTGAAGGAAAGGGGAATTTTAGTCCCCTGCTCTTTAATATCATCGTAATTTTTTTTTGCTTTCACTCTAGATCGTCTATAAAATAGTTGTATATTTAGATTCCCCTATTATATTCCCTAAGTTAAGTAATTCTCTTGAGCCACCCACTATATTTATACATTGCTTTGGGATAAGCTAAATAAGACTATTTCAATGATGGTCTTCCATGGGTTCACCTATAAGCCGTCGCTAATATAAATTTGAGGGTTTCATGATTTTTATCATTTTGGATATTTCAAAATCGGGCTTAGACGATTTTTGAGAGGGATTTCGAAGGGAGATTCTTGAAGTAAGTCACTTGTGGTTATTTTTATTCAATAATTATGCTTCCCCATTGAACTTCCCACCTATTTTGTGTGTTTTTAAAGTGTAATTTTGGGAGTTTGAGGCTATGGATTTGGAGAGTTTAATTTGGGGATTTGAGTGACGATTTGGTGTCAGATTTTGGTAAATTTGATACGATCGGACTCATGTTGAATGGACTTCCAGATTTTGTGACTTTTATTCCAACATGTGGGACCGGGAGGGAGGGGGCAACTTTTGAGTTGACTTTTTGATTTTTGATTAAGAACTAAGTATTTTCATATGGAATTGATCCCTAGAGCTTTAGTTGATTGCATCAAATTATTTATGGCTAGATTCGAGGCATTCGAAGGCCGATTGGCGAGGCAAGGGCTTGCTAACAAAGTGATTCGATTTTCTTGAGGTAAGTATCATATTTAAGCTCGATTGAGTGATAGCCACGTGCTTTTGGGTGTGCACATGTGTGGGGATGATCCCATGTGCGGCACCGGGATTGTATAATCATGTTGGGGTTGTGCTCGGGCTCTTATAAGCCCAAAAATGACTTTTGAGCTTCAAGCTTTGGTATCAAACATGTTGTAACAGTTTATGTGATCTACTTGAGCTATGATGAGATTACTTAGAGGTTTAATGCCTAAACGATCATGATAAATACTTTTCATTGATGAAATTGTCGGTTTAGACTACTATAGCACACCTTGCACATGCCTACATTTTAGCATGTGATTTACACCAGTCCAGGGACATGAGAACCTTATTTCATTCATCTTATTCCTGCAAACCTGCTTTATTGCTTCTATATGATATTTTTTACTAGGCATGCGGCTATATCGGGCGAATTATGTTATTGGCACGTGAGTTATCCGTGCATCACATAAGTTGTCCTTGTGGATCCATGTATTAATATTATTGGTATGTGAGTTGTCCGTATAACACTTGAGTTATCCGTACAGATCCATATATTAATATTATTGATACGTGAGTTGTCCGTATCACACGTGAGTTGTCTGTCTAGGTTTATGGTTAGCATATGAGTTGTCCGTGCAGTGCGTGAAACCTGTATTTTCTTGATCATTTATCTGATTTACTTGTTTCTTTTCTCTATATGCTATAATATTGTAAAGCGAGGTATTTGAGAAACAGTGCACATGCACACACAGATGTTCTTCACACGAAGCCTTATGAGTTAACTTTACCTTTTTATGTTGTTTTGGTCCAAAACGACAGAATTGCACTGATTTAACTGGTGATCTCAACAAAATTAGCTTCTCTTAACTTGCCTTATTTATTTGCGATACTTATTGAGTTGTTTGTACTCACACTACACCCTGTACCTCGTGTACAGATCCAGGTATTTTCACGCACGGCGATTGTTGATGGTGGAGTCTTACATGTTGATCATTGAGATAGTTGTTTGAGCGCCCACAGACCTTGACTCTACTTCCCCTATCTTTCAGTTTTATTTATTTAGCCCTACTTTCTAGACAGTGTATCATACTATTCATTATATATCGATGCTCATGTACTCGGTGACACCCAAGTTTTGGGAAATTTCTATATTTAGTTGCGACATTTCATCTGGTTTTATGATAATTCCATTGATATAAACCTGTTTCTAGCATGTTTTGCTTTTGAAAATGTTGGGATATGTGAGTTGTCGGCTTGCCTAATATCATAATAGGCGGTATCACGACGTGTCGAGTTTGGGTCGTGACAAAATGTTTCCTTTTTTCAATTTTTTTAAAACAGTGTTTGATTATCAAAATCTTACAATTTTTCTAATATCAATTGAAAATGCACTTTCAAATTTGAAAAACTATCGAGAACCAGTTTTTCAATTGAAAATTTGAAGGTTGCTATTTTTTAGTTTTATAAATTTACTCTATATTTTTAAAATTTATAAAAGACCCCATGAGTTATTAACCAAGTTAACCATCAACTACCCACTTTCCCTTCCATAAAGTCAGAAACAATAAGTGCAAGCGGCATGTCTTCTTCTCACCAAAGTGTGCGGCTGCCTTTCCACTAGGCCTAGTTGATTCTTGCCTACTTTTACACCTTCTCTGTGTGTTAGTAGAATTAGAACATGTGATATTGATTTTGCATCTTTTGTGTGTTGCAGTAAAGCAGAATATGATAACAATTAAACAATAGCATGTTTGATTGTTTCTTTCAAGTAGGATAATCAAATTGGTGTGGTTTTGATATTTTTTTACAAATTGTAGGGTATAAATCATGTTTCATAGTTTTGAAAAAAAGATATCCAAATATGTTGCAAAAATTATAACCGAACAACTTTATCTTCAATTCAAATTTTAGTGAAATTCCAAATTTGATTTTTTTTTTTTGGAATTCATGTCCAAACGCCTACTTAATCTATATGCAATAGGAAAGCCACTGATGTAGTTGTTAAAGCACAAGAAAGTGTGTTTCTGAGATATGACGTCTCTTCCTAGAATCCATGTAGGAAGAGATTTGAAGAAGCATTATGCTACATATATCACTACAGAAAATGATCAGAAAATAAGAAGCAACATGCATTCCTCCACTTCTACAACTAGACTCGCATGCTTGAACTGCAATTGAAGATTTGCCTTTTGTTTCACAACTGGCAGCTACAGAAATATCCAGGTTTCAGAAACAGCAAAACCTCTTTTTCTGCATAAAGTACATTGAAGAACATGATCATCAACTATTCAAGTAGAGTATTAAATCTGAATGCTTGAAGCAAAAGGGGAAGCTAAGACTCCATGGATTATCATTCAACTTTAAGTTTATCACACAAAAATTACAAAATTAATTGTTTTAACCAAAAAACATGCATATATTCTCATGTAATTAGTATAATCACGTGATCATCTGAGCTTGCATAATATCCACGTAGGACCACTTCAAATTCCCAAGAAAATTATTTTTTTACTTTAAACATGATGTCCTTCACTAGGTGGCAGATCATGAGTCATTTTTTTTTTAATTGGGTCATAAAATATTTTTTTCTAATTTTGTGGTGCCAATTTAGTAAAATAAATAGGAAGTTGAATGACTGTATGCCAAATTAACACAAAGAAAAGACTTAGTTGGCATCAAATACCGTTGGATCTTGCTGACATGAGTCATTTTGTCTAGACGTAGCTTCAGCTCTGGGTGATGATGCTGGTGCAGAACTGGCCGCAGTCCCAGTGGCTTTCTTCTCATCTCTAGCGTTGGCAAATATAACTGTGTACCCGTCTGCTGAGGCTGGATCATTCACATCCCATTCACCAAATTTGGGCAATGGTTGACCTTTCTCTTGCTTTGAATTCGGTACAAGGTAACAGGAATTCATACAACTACATTAACTTTTCACTCATGACCATGAGTTGCAAATTTCTTAAAGGTATTCTATTAGGAGTATATAATATAACTCGAGTAGAAGACTGCAAGGTTGTGGATGCAAAGTAAAAATACATCCGCTAGCAAAACGTTGCATCAAAATTTCAAGGAAGGGAATACTTATAAATTGAGAGTGAGGAAAAAAGAAAAGCTGATAGTTAAATATAAGTGTAAACAAGATTAATTGCGTCCATCTTATATTCAGCATTTCCCAATGAATTATACAAGTTAGAAACACATTCAAAAGAAGAATTAGGGACAAGAATTCGTTAATTCACGATGAACCCTCACAATACAGATATTTTAGTTGTATGTTCTCTACCTCAAAATGATGATGAATTCATGTAAGAACCAAACAATTAGAGGCGACCATTTGCAAACTGAAAAGAATTGGAAGAGAGAGAAACTTACAGAAGTCATCGGTGTGTATTGCAGATGAAGAGATTGAAGGAGAGACAAACAGAGAGGATGATCAGAACGAATCTTAAGGTAGAAGGAGATCTAGATGGCGATTTGAGGGAATAAAAAGTACAAACGAAGTGGGAAAATCAGTTGTCGCTCCCATGTCCCAACTTATAATGTCAGATTGCACACGCATGGGACCCAAACTGTCTGGTTCACGACAATTATAAAAATGCAATTGGTGTCTTGACATGGGATGTATTTATGCTACTTTCACACTTTTCTACTTGAATCATATATAAATATGTATGTTTACCCTAAAAATTGAATAACAATTAAACTTATAATGTGGTTTTAAGGATACATGATTTCACCTAATATCAATTAATGGATACAAAATTAGTAGCAGAAATTAACAAATAAATTAAGCAAACCAGTGTTTGAACGGAGCTAAGCCCTCGAGTTGAATACCCTCGGACTGATCGATGCAAGAATAGTTAAAAATATAGCAATCTGATGAACAAGAATATAAGCCAGAAGGTATTGTATTGCTTTGATATCTCAGAGTATAAGGTGTTTATAAAATGACCAAACCCCTCTTAATATAGCAAAGAAATACTATCTATGGTATAATTCTAATTATGAAAGTAAATTCCATGATTAGCCTGAAAAATCGCCCTTGATTTGATCTGTTCCGGGATTTTCGTTGTGATCTTCGACCGGTCAGGGATATCCCGTCTCTCCGTTATTGCGCTTTACTCGAAGTCTGCCATATTTGGTTCCGATCGTTGCTGGCCTCGATCTCGATAGGCACCTCGATTCTCGAACTCGTCACTTTGATCAACTGCACTATGAGGCTGACCCTCGATGCAACTTCTGGTTTCGATCAAATAGTAAAATCGGGTAGGCCCGATTTTAACCATATACAGATAGTCCCCTCGTTTCTTGGAGTGTAACGAGAAGAAACGAATTGAGGCTTTGATTTTATACCCTGACATTTCATGAAGTCATCCTCATGACGTAAGCGGCGGAAGTGATTGAAACGTCCCGTTGGTACAATTCCCAAAGTCATTAATGATCGTTAGTTGGTGGTCGGCCACCAGTGCCTTTGAACTGTCACCGTGAATCGCTTAAATAGACCCCTTCTCTCATTGATTCAATCTTTGCTTTCACTTCCTTCTAATTCCTTAAGCTTTTTACATCTCTTAAGCTCTTTATTTCTTAAAAATCTCCAGTTTTCGTTATCAACTTTCCCTCCAAACACCAAGCCTTACTCTCTTCTACTTTCTTTAAACTTATAAAAATAGCAAAAACGTCAAAGACCGTTCCTCAAAAGAAAAAAGTTTCTTCATCGCGGTCGGCCGGCGACAAAACATCGGTGGAGCCGCGCCCTGAGGAGTGCGTTCCCGAGAAGGGATGTGTCCTTGATTCCGACTTCAAAGTCGAGAAGACTTCATTGGTCCCCGATCGTGCGAGTGTATGTCGAGATATATATGATCGATAACTGAGAGTGACTTTGAGCAGGTAAAGAAAGACTGCCATTGGGAAGATAGAGAGGTGGTGATTACGACCCCCGAAGAAGATATCACTACCCATGTAGAAGGGTTTCTAATTGTTTGCACTTACCCTTTCACCCTAGGCCATGTCGATCCCGTCATTATCAATTTTTTCCGCTAATATCAAATAACCCTCGGTCATATCTATCCTTCTTTTTGGCGAATTATCATTCTGCTCTGATTCTTCGTGAATAAAGCCAAAGGGATGCCTTTCATCCTCGACCACCTCATCAGGTTGTACAGCCCCCGTCTTTTTCGAGGCGGTTAATAAAACTCCAACGTTAGGCCACCAAGGTATTGTTCTCGAGTATAGAGATCGAGGGTGGATGGGAAGGTTCGTTCGAGTGAAGACTCCCGACCTAATCCTGGCCGAGAAAATGCCATTTCCCGAGGAGTGGATATGAAGCATAAGTACAATCCTTCCTTTAGCTTCCATTTATTATTTTGCTTACTTCGCTTCTTCTCATTAACATTCTTTTCTATGATGTAGCGGTCGTTTGGATGCTCGGTGTAATTCCTAACCTCGAGAGCTAGCTTTGGAAACTGGCTTCGACTTCCTCGTATGCTGATCGCTCATGGCGCAATTTGGCAAGGGGCCGATGGGAGGCCAAAAATCATGGTAAGCCCTTTTTCACATACTTGATGATTTTCGCTAAAATGATTCTTTTCGTACTTACTTGACTCCCTTTCATATAGGCCTCAGAAAAGACGCCGTCTTGAGGCCCCCGTCTAGGAAGGAGGAGGTTTCACCCCTGGCCCCGAAGCAGGCGAAGGATAAGAAGAGAAAAAGGGTCTCGACCTCCGAGACTCCAAAGCCCAAGAAGAATAAGGCTCGTAAGTCACAGAAAGACACCGTCGTCCTGCCTGCAGATGTAGTTCAGCGACTAAGAGACGAAGAAAAGGAAAATGAAAATAATGGCTTCGAGCTGGTGTCCCGAATGAAGAGGTGCACAGAAACCCCAAAGACCACTGTGCCGGTGAGGGAATCATCCTCAAACCGAGGAGATCTCGGAAGAGAGCCTGAGCAAAGTCCTGAGTTGTCAGAGGCTGAAGATGCCCCACGGTGAAATAAGCAATCGGTGGGTGTGCCTAAAGGGGCTGGCTTTGAGGCCCTTCAAAATGAAGAGAACGCCCCAAGTGACTCGCTTGGGGCAATTGAAATTGGCGATTCGCCGATCCTCCCTACATTTTTCGAAAGGCAAATTCAGGAAGCCCAGGCCATAGGGACCCCTGATGTGGAAGGAGCCCACGGAGGGGAGGACCTTTTTCGTTGTTGTTTTACAAGAGTCGAAGATGCTATCGACCAAAGTGAGGCATCTAGTATATTTGATGAGGCTCAACAACTTCTATTTTCCTTTCTTTCTACATAGGCCTTGACAAATCATCGGGATGCATTTTCTAAATCCCGGATAGAGCTGAGCCGATGCGAGGCCGATCTTTAAAGGCTCACAGAGGAGAGAAATGCCCTTAAACTTCTCACCGGGCAAAAAGAAGAGGAGATCAAGGATCTCTGAGCCGAATTGGCCACAACTCATAAAGAGCAAACCGACCTGATTGAGCATGTAATGAAAATTTGTAAAAGCTCGATGTATCAGTTCGGGGACTACGACTAATACTTCAATCCTACAGGTTCAGCAGAAGGCCGAAAATATCGAACACCTCCGTGAGGAGGCCAACATGATGAGTATAGAGACTTTCAGGTAGAAACAAAACATGGACCGCCTTGCCTCAGAGAAAGATGCTGCTAGAGCTCAATTGTCATCGGCCAAATGTCAGCTCCAAAGCATGAAGGAGGAAAGTTCAGCCCGAACTAAGAAAATTGAGGAGCTCGAGGCTCGGTTGGCCGCCGAACTTGCAAAGGTTACATCTACGGCATAAAAAGTAAAGGTTGATGCAGAGGCGATCGTGGCCGTATACCGAGCTGATACTGAAGCTGTTCAATCTCGAGCAAAGGAAGTTGCTGATACCGCTCAGACTCGTGCACACTGGGTTGCCGAGCATGCCAAGTACCATCCTCCAAGAGAGACTCTTGAGGAGATTCATGCTCGTGGCTTTAACCTTGATATGGAGATCGAAAACGCGAAAGAGCTCGAGGCCAAAGCCAAAGCATTTCTCTCTTCCGATGATGATGATTCCGAGAGCGTGAATGGATCTGAGAGCGGAGGGGATTCCGATGGTGAAGGTGTAGCTCCCGAAGAAAATTAGGCACTTAGAATTTTTTATTTTTCAAATTTTTTGTGTAGGATCCTAACCGATCCATGTAAATATTTCATATATAAAAGATCTCTTTTCTCTTTGATTTTTCTTTATTTCAATTTCCGCCTCGTACAAATTCTGTTTCGACCATGTCTTCAAAATTTTCATAAGTATGAGGCTTGGAAAATTTGATCGAAAATGGATTAGTGCAGTCATTATAATCGAGCGAGTATTTTCTCGAACTCGAAGTAGGATGACCCTTAGGTTTTAGGTGAGTGAGGATGACTTATCGAATTCAAAAATAAAATGGCCCTTAGGCTCTAGAATTAGGTCGATCTGGCCTTAAAAGAATGGTTGTTTACTCTTTACAGCTTAGAAAGTTAATCATGTAAAAATTTGTTATGCCTTAGCACGAGATAAATTTATACCCGTTAAGGTTTTTGAGGGTTAGTGTTACTGAAACCCTTTGTTTTGTTACGCCTTAGCGTGAAATAAGCTCGTTCAGTATTTCAAACAATTCGGTACCCCTTAGGGTTTTAGAGTGTTGATTTGATCGAAACCTTTTATAAATTTGCCGAGGGTAGCCTTTTAAATCTGTTTTATGAAAATATTTGAAGGCCTATTTTGCTACAAAATTCGAACGTCTCCAAACCATGTTAGTTTGGTACTAGCCTTTAATTTGAGATTTGCCACTTGGGGCTTGTTTCTCAATTATGTTCCGAACTTGTTCGAAATGTCAGTCCTCGAGTGGCGTGGCCGAGGTCTATAAAAATGAGGGTTGCCTTTTAAAGGTCTTATGATCTCAAGATTTTAGTAGTTCAATTACATCGGTTTTTCGGACGACAGTCCTGGAGTATAGGGTAAGTTGTTCGAACTTCAGTTGTGATCGGCCCTTAAGCCTGTTTCCACTATAGACCAAAAGTAAGAAATTGTAAAGTAAAATTTTCTCTAAGGCATGAAATATTTGGCAAGGAAAAATACTTTTCTCAATAGATTATACATGCGTACATGTTTGTCTTAAGGGCTCGATAAATCTATATGGGCACGACTCGTTTGACCGTTTGGCCTAATTTGAAACTAATTTGAGCGAGGTTATTGATTTCATTAAGATATGGCCTAATTAAAATTTTTATAATTGTTTTATTGCTCGAGTTGCACACAATAGTATCATTTTTTTGCACAAAAAAAAAGAAAAAATTAAAATGAAAAAAATTGCACCCAAAGGTGTGGCCTAATGGTCAATAAAGTAGGTTGAGAAGCACCATATCTCAGGTTCAAATTCCAGCAGAGGCAAAAACACTAGGTGATATCTTTCTATCTATCCAAGTTTAGATGGATGAGTTACCTGGTAACTGTTATTGGTGAGAGGTGGCAAGT